GTACACTCAGATTCCATACCTATTTTTGGTAGTTATAAAAAAGACCCAATGCAGTGAGTGATGTTTTGTCACTACTGCGGTCAAAGAGTGGGGAGAGAAAAAAAAGATTTAAAAAAAAAAAAAAAAAAAAATCACACTCACACTGTATCTACCGGCTTTCATTGTAGTGATCTGATGCGGACATTGGCAATTTGTTAACAACGACTCCACAAAAATCAACTAAGGAAAGCAAACTTTCTGTCCGTAAAGTAACAGTTCAGTTCAGTACATCCAGGGGCTGCACCTCCACTGGGATACACGTGGAGGTCTGCAATTCAAACACCCTCCCACTCTGCCACACAATTTTAAAGCAAAACCTGGAGGAGTGGAACAGCCCAGCTGGGGTTCTGCTGAACCTTCACTTCAACAGGCAAAACATTTGTTAACCTCAGCCAGTCCAGTCTGGGTTCTTGTTCACATATCCTGCGGCCACCAGAAGTTTCACAAGCGGGGGATAATTGGAAGACAAAGCAAATGCTAAAACCTCATTGCCCCAGTTCAGTGGCCATTGGTGTTTCTCAACCAATTGCAAAAAAAAAAAAAAAAAAAGCAGGGAGGGGAGGGCATAAAATGGTCTTAGCATACCAAGCAGCTATGCTGATGAATGCTTATGTTCCATCATACTCAGTGCCAGGACCACTGCTTGGCAAATACTGTCTTTCTCATCCAATCCATTTTATAAGCTTGACCAAAAAGGATAAACACTGTGAAGCAGAAGCCACTGATTAAAAAATCTGAAGAATTCTTCTAGAAAATTACTTTTTCTAGTCTCTCGTTAGAGAACAGTAGCAGGACTTTTTTTTTTTTTTTTTTTTTTAAATAACTGACAAAACACTTTTACATTTCTAAAAAGAATTCTATGACACCCCTATTATTCAGAAGCCTCACTCTTTTGTGCTTGGTCATTTCATCACGCACTTGACACACACACACCCCAAATACTTCCCCAGCAGAGCAGAACTCCCCTGGAAGCCAGAGCAGCTGCTTCCAACCCCAGTTAGTCCTCAACTGGGCCCAGTAAGCTGAGATAAATTCTCATCCTCTTGTGACTGAGTTCAGTCAGTCCTTCAGTGTTGTTCAATGTCATTTTGAAAAAAAGTGGGTTCTTTAAGACAGCAAAAGAAACCAAAAGAATTAATGAGCTACACTCCAATAAAAAGTATAGTCTACTGGTCTCTGTATAGCACTTATCAACAGAAGGCAAGATAAAAAAGCTTCTCACTTACATTACCAGTTTCTTTTCATAGTTTTCATGAACATTTTAAAGGACTGTTAATTTGTCTCCAAGTCAGATAAAAAACCTGCCATTGCTAACACAAGATAAAAGGTCTAACTAGTGGTTGCCATTAAAAAGCCTTTATTATTTGCTACTGCTGCTACCACATAATGGGACAAAGTGTGTCACCAGATATGCACACCTTACTTCGGAATCAAAATTCCCTGAATAAATAATCTTCTTCTAATAAGTGACAGACCAAATTTGGGTCTCACACTCAACAATGAACAGGGCTTTATGACTGCAACATGTGGGAAGCCTTGATAAAAGTTAATATTTCCGTAAGAGATGATTTTCTGAATCTTGTTAAGAAAGTCACCTTCTGCTAAAGCCTATACTCAGGGAAGTACAGGACCTCAAAAGTATAGTAAAACTTTTAATTTTTTTTAACAGAACTCTAGTCTGTAATTCCAAATGTCCTCACTGATTGTGTTTATCTAGAGATAACTATGATATTAAAACCAAACAGACCAGACATAAGAGCCAGAAGTAGCATTTTAATTAGAAAATATAAGAATTCCAGAAAACACACACAACAGAGGTTAGATGAGGTGTTGGTTAAAGAAATAATATATATAAAAAAAATTCTATTAAAAACTACCCTTGCTCTCTCCAGTTAAGTTTTTTGCTCTGTAAAAGTGTCCACTCAACTGCCTGCATTTTTTTATATCCCATGAATACTGAAAAATCAATTACTGACCAAGAAAGTGTGTGTATTGATATACATAAATACACACTTTAAAATAAATATATAAAACAAAAAAGGTAAGTATTTTTACACTTTATATAATTTTCTTAATTTGTATTATATCCTGTACATTATCAGAGTCTCACTGGATTATGCATATCAGATTAGATATGAATAATATTGGCCTTTTCTGGACTTGCTCACATTTGTAACAAGGTGGTTCCTTAAGGTACCAGCTGAGGGAGACTAAGATCATTGTTCCATTTTCCGTTAGAATTCTACCTCAGTCAGCCTATAAAAATTAGATTCCATACTAATGAGGAACTTCGAAATGAGTGATCCTTCACTCATGCTACACTTTCTGCTGCATCCCAAATATAGAAACAAGCACCTGTACTTCCCTATTTGGATTACAGATTTAAAGTTCCTTTTTATGCAGCTCCTATCTGTAGCCCATAAGTTACTACTGTTCTGCAAGTCCATAGCTGAGGATGGAAAAAGGAGGACACACATCATTAGAGATTTTGTTTGTTTCTTTGGACAGCAAAACCTTAAAGCAGCCAGGGGTTTAAAGTGCTAGAATTGGTTCCAATGAAAACAAATTAGAAAGCTGCAAGCAGAGAAGATGATCTATAAGGCATCTTAAAATGCATTCAATACATTGCATTGCTTTGTGCAATGTAAGTCTCACTAGAGGTATGTGTTAATATTATTTGAATACATAGGATTGCAAAGAAACCTTTTTAAAAACAACTGAGCAATGAGGAAATGTAAAACAAATGGATCTGCCCACAATGTTTTATTTACAATATTTTCCTCTATTCCCGCTCATCTTTCCACTGTACAGATATGATTGCATGGGTGAAGTTTCATAATGACAGCTTAATTCAACTCTTAAAGCCACACAAGTTACAAACCCAACTCTATATTCACATTTCAAAGGATAAAGCAACACGACTTTTAAATTTAAGGCAGTGCAAGCCAGAAAAGACAGGCCACCTCAGGCTATAACATATGAATCCAGATGAAAAACATCACTGAGTTAATACAACACATAAAAAACAAAGTTACTAACAAGGTAGCAATACATTCAGAAAAACAGTCCACTTCATTAGCTTGATGCTATTACGCCAAGCTTATTCCATCAACCAAAATGTTTAGTTTTGTTTGGTGGTTTTGTTTGTTTTTAAATCTGAAGCATGCCCAAGCTTCTAAATAAAGCTCCTGCAGTCAGATGTAGGAAACCAACAGTTGATTTCACTACTTTGAGAGCACTACGCTTCCCCTCCTCCCCAGCTAACTCCAGCAGGGACAGCCTTTGGAAACGGTTTTCTATTCATCAATCCAACAAGTACAGCTCAGACAGTGGAAAGAGGCTCCATTACATTAAATCACTGATATATTTCATCCTGATTTTCCACTAGGATGAGTATTTTGCAAGCAAATACAAGGTTGATCTGCCTGTGTTCCATGTCAACTACACATGAGCCCATTCTCAACTGGAAGCCCCATTGCGTCATTTAGCTTCTTCACATCCAAGCTTGTAAGATGTCCTCTGAGCTTAGCATACCTCCTTAGCTTTCAATACAGGGCAGATTTTCATCTGGTCATGTTGAAACACAGGCAGAGTTAGCTTGCCTTTGTCTGAAAAAAGCTGGGTAAATGCATTATTAGCTGAGCTTTGTCTCAAAGGCCATCCAAAATGTGGTGGTCTTGTTACCAAATGGATGATTCAGAGCAACAAGTACAAACCTGTTCTCCAAGGGTTCAAGAGAAATCAGCAACGTGCTTAATAATTGGCCACAAAACAGAGTGCAGGTAGCAGTGATTTTGATCACTGCCAACTTGTACTGGATCTAATTCAATTACTTAAGACAGAATGAAATAAGTTTAAATTGTACTCATTTAAAACTAGTTATTTTAGGTAAAAATCAGAACGGAGAATTCATACCAAGCCTTTATTGTCAAGGCTACTGCTCAAAACGTTTAATGCTATTTTATTCTAAAAGTGAAATACATCACAACTGTAGGCATATTATTTGTTAGATTTATTGTACTGATGACAGTAGGAAATACTCTTCTTTCAGTCATTGAATTAATTGTTACTGCGTTTTATGGACCTTTAAAAAAAAAAAAAAAACCGGGACACTCATTTTATTTGCTCTATTAACTCCCAAAGTGTCAGATTCAGTAAAAACTCAATTTTCCAATCTGCAGAACTCACCCCCAAAACCCTGGATTTAGGCCTTTAAAGATCAAAAAGACTGATAACGCTTTTAAAGAATCTCTCCCATTTTTTTTAAACATTCTCTTATTTTTCATTCTAGTAAAAACCTATCTAATATGAGAAATTATTGTCCTATACCCAAAGTGTATGGAGCACACACATTCACGTGCACTTGGTAATCACGTCTGCTGCACGCAAACAAGAAACAACAGCTTATGAATGAGAAGAGACACTTCATTTGTCTTTAGGAATTCACCTCAGAAGTATATTTATTCAATGACATACCAGACACGGAAGAACTGACCTGGTATTTTACCTAAAATTAGTTAACAGTTTATTAAACTCAGTCACCCTGTATAAAAATCCATATATTCCTGTAGGCATAGAACCTTTCTCTTTGTTTACCTGTTCCAGGAAAAAATAAACAAGCAAACAAAAAAAGACTCAAGGAAAATGTATCTACTCCCATTCTGGTTGTTACCCAAGTCATTTGGAAAAAAAGTCTCCACAGTGCCTGAAAAAGAGAGATTCCATTATTTTAATTATCTTCATCTAGAGAAAAATAAAGTAGTGTGATGTCTAAGTTGTGTGTGGGCTAAAAATCCACGACAGTACCTTGCTTCTCTAACACCCACTTCCTTAGACTGTTACTTTTGCACCTTTGTATGTCTTTAACAGGATGATAAGTGCTTTTTAAGCAGTAGCCAGGACTTCAAGAAGCCTGGATTTTTAAGACTCACCAAAATAAATAAGAACCCAGTCCTACCTACCTTAGATATTTCTGGTTCCACTTGTCTCTTGGGTGTCTCTTTTGACTCAGGCCCTTTTGGAGTACTAGTGCTCTTAACAGAGGGTGATTCAACTCCTTCACCTTCAAGTTGCAGATTAATACCTTCTGTGGGGACAGGGTGATCAATACCATTTGGATTCAGATTGCAATGGATAGCTGGGAAAAAAATATGAGAAAGAAAAAACACTGCTTAGGAAAGAAGAACCCAATATTACAAACATTTATCAGAAAGTACTAAGAAGTGCCACGTGGTAACCAGAGCTATGTCACATCACGGCAAAAGAACTGTCTGTATCTTGACATGGATTCAGGGTGAGATATTTGAGAAAGAAAATGAGAGGCAATGCAGCACTGTATAAGGCTATTTAGTGTAGGCTACTGTACTGAACTGTGCTCTACTGGATTCACTACAGCATCCAAGACCCTCAACTTACAGCTCTTACTTAGGGTAGGACAATATATCCCATGTTTTCATCATGCAGCCATACCTTTTTTTCTTTTCTAGGCAAGCAAGTTAAAGTTTTTCTATTACATTTTCAATTACTACAACATTCTAGGTCCTAAACAACGTGGGATAAGTAAGCAGCGCACAGCAAGTCAGTCTCTGCACAGAGTAATGACTTACCAAGCTGATTATCTCTCCTCCAGCACTTTGTACCACTGCAAAATACCACCTACACCATCCTAACAAGCAAAAGGGACGTACTCTCTAGGAGCATATAACGAGGTATGGACTAATGACAGTGGAATAAGGAAAGCAGCCAGAGAAAAAAATAAAACAAATGCAAACCATACCACAGAAATGCACATTTAGACCTATGGCAGTAGTTTAATCACTTTCACACATTTCCAGCACTCACATAGAGAGTAGCCTTAACAACCTTCTTGGCACGTGTAGCAATTTTCAAATGTGTGAGGATCCTGAGGCAACTTCCTTTTCATGTGACTATCCAATTTTTGCATTCATGTTCCTGGGTAACTGCACTACTTTTAGTGCTACTTGTAATTAACAGTCCCAACTTCCCCTGTACGCAAAAGAACTTTGCTCAGATACTGTGGTGCAATGTTTGACAGACCTGAATAGAAATCCAAAACACAAGGTAAAGCCAAAATAAAAGCTGCCATTTTACTCTTGCTTGGCTTAGAAGCAAAGGACGGGGAACGGGCAAAGGAATCAGAACTGCCAGTTTCTACCAGCTACGGATCAACCCTTGAAAGCCTCTCAGAGGAAATGGGCTCAAGCTGCCAGAGAAGGCAAAGGGTTCTTCTACAGCACCTTTTGAAAATCCAACCACCTTAAATCCCAGAGTCTTAGTTGAAAACTTTGAGCCTCAATTACAGCAATTCCTTGGTACAGAATTAAAGCAGAGGCCAAAAAGTTGGCCTTTTCTCCTTGAGATTTTTTTTAAAACGTCCAAATATTTGTAAAATATAAGACATCTATCCAAGCACTACAATATCTACTTCTGTAAGCTAGGGATGGAAACATCTCCTATCTTCAAGTCAAAGGAACATTATGAAGGATAATTCATTAACAACACTGAGTGATGGAAAGCAGTAAAGAATTGCAACATGTGTTATCACAAATTGCAGCCATTTTGTGTAGAAGAATAGAAAAATATGTCACTGGCCCACAGAAAACTAGTAAGTGAAACTAAAAATGGGAAGTGAAATTTCAGTCTCACTGTGAGTAGCTGTAGGGGATTAGTCCTAGACTTCTTTTACAAGTATGTAAGAGAGACAGACATCCCTCTCCAAATAGTCAATTCTTTAGCAGATGGCATGAGAGGAAGAGGAGGAGGAATCACTAGACTACATCATGTCCAGAGCTAAGCCCTGCATGGACCTCCTTCTGGGGAAGGAAACAGAAGAGGTGAACAATGCAGAGCTTCTGGAGGTGAGGCAGGGTTTCCACTGGCCACCACAGTAGAAGGACTTCCAGCTAAAAATCCTTTCTTTCTCAAAAGGGATCCTCTCTCTGCTTAGGCCTTGCATACTGTTGTGGTTTTGCTCTAAAAGCACTGAAAACCGTCTGAGAAGATTTTGGGGAACTCCTGGGTTTCCCCTTCAAGCACCAATTTCTCAAAAACAAGAGCATTTTTTATTTTAATAGGGAAAAAAGCACATAAGGAAAAGGGGTCTGCAGCAGTCTGTTGAGGCTGTTCTTATCTGTCATCTTTCTGTCTCACTTTAGTAGCACAGGCATGTGCAATTTCTTCGTGATACCTAGAGAGCTGCTACAGAGCCTCATTTCCCAAACCAACTCTAAGGAGCTTTCCCCTAAGTCTAGCTGCAGCTCTTCTTGCAAGTCTCTTTCTTCCCTGGTTCAAGTCAATTCTGTAGGTTGGTTGAAGGCAATGCAAAACCAAATCCCATTGTTCTGGCACTGCCTCTCACTGGTGAGGCAGGAAAAAAGAGAACTGTCTTCAAGTCACTCCTTTCCTCCTACTGGTTTTCCCAGCTACACCACTGAGTCAATCCAAAACATAAATACTTAAACGTTAATAATGTCAGCACAGGCATTTCCTAGCTTTCGAGCTCTTTATTTCTACGTGCACTCCATACCTACCCCTTCCTGGATTTTCCTTTTGTCATAGCTAGAAGGGAGTCTTTGGGGCTTTTAACCTCCCATGGGAGGTTTCAAACAGATATGATTTTGTAGTTTATATTTACATGAGTGTGTCTTTAAGACACCAAAAATTTCTCTCTCCTAGATCATATCTACCTATCATTATCTATCTCCTCTAGATCATATTTACCTACCTGAAAGAAACAATTACTAATGACTACTTCGCTTATCCTCCAGACCACAGAAAAGATGGATGTGATCCACCAAGACAGACTTTTTCAAAGCCCAGTGAGAATGGAAACTGTTCTGTTAGTAGCCAAACTAATTCCCTTCTTCACAAAAAAAATGGAGATATCCTAACCAACCTGTAAAAGTACTCCCAGCACACCCTGCTCCAGCAAGAGCTGGAAATTAGCGGTGAAAGACACTTGGTATGGAATGCAGTCTATAAAAATCCCTCCAACTGTCTTCTTCAAGGATCTTGCCTAGGTGAATAGGAAGACATAGGTGCATACACCTTTGAAATGCCAACACACTTCAGCAGCATCCAGAAACAGGCAGGTTTTGGCTGTCAGCCCCCTTCTAGTGCTCGTTATGAGAGAAATCACAATGCACAGTGGGACTTAACACTGCCTGGAAGAACATTGCCAGCAGCAAGCTTCCTGTGGATTGCAACTCCTCCCTTCCCAGTGCCCCCAAACAATACAGATTGTATTAGGAGGGAGGAGGGTGGTAAGGGATGGACAAGGAAAGCCTTCTGGGTTACAGCATTGATTTACCATGCATTACAGGGAGCAAATGATCCAGATTTCTGGTAACATGGTAGCATAAGCATCACCTGGATGGCTTAAAAGAGAAATAAATCACATGGCAAGATGCTGCTTGACTCTTAGCCCATCATTCTTTCAAGAGTAATCAATGTTAGTGCTGTTTCAGCAATGCTTTATATTGGGCTCCTTCAGGATACAAAAGAGAAAAAAATGGAGAGGCTGCTAACGATTACATACATGCCCATTACCTTTTTATTGAAAAGAGGTGACTGCTTAAAAGAAACACAGGCTGCCTCAGGGAAGACTTTTCCAAAGCTGCTGATAGTTGGGGGGGGGG